TGGGGCCAGCAACCCTGCGGGGGGCCTTGGGGAGCTGCAGCTGCAGTGATCCTGCCTCTCGGAGTCTAGCCAGCAGCTGGAGCTTGGCTCCAGCTGGCCAGGCTCTAGTTTTGAGTGACATGCACTGCCTCTGCGTGTACTTTTTTTGTGAGGGTTTGTTTGACCCCAGGATCTTCCAGGGTGAAAAGAACCCCCTGAATGGGGAACACCTAAATGTGCGGTGTGTGGCACCACAGACTGGTCTGCAGTGGTGCATACTGCACAGCCATGCTCATCTGGATGCAGCCTATAAAACAGCTTGAGCTATTTCTATTCCAAGATAGGCCAGATACAGCATTGAAGATAAACAATGCCTTGGATCCAGTTAGATTGACACAGGCAACCATGATTGTAGATGAATTGCCTGTTTTTTATGATCTCGACGTAGTAAAAAACAACAGCACCTCAAGAAGGATGAACCCTGAGGCTATTGGCCTGAAGGCTGAATGGCATCATGGGATCATTGGCTCATCTGACATCCCAATCGGCTTAACAGAGAAAGTGGTAGTGGCAGAAACTCATACAAAGGTCCAGTGTGCAGCCCAGAATCAGATGTGAAGGAGGAAGCTACCTCTACCAGGAGTGCAACTGGCCTAAAATATCAAGTAGGGTATCAGAAACCTGAATACTAAAGGGATCATACTGGTTCAGTACTGGTCATCTTGGAAGGGTCACTGGGAAGGGCAAAGATGGGCTCTTGGCTTGGATATAGGACCTAAATAACCAGTCTATCAAACCCTGATGAGGGAAGCTGCAAGAGACTATGGTATGAGAGAGGCATCTGCTGTCACTTGCACACACTAGAGAGTCTTGGAGCTGGGGCACATATGTTTAACAGTTTTCCTTTTCTCAGCAGCCCTGGTGAGAAGTGAGCGGTACCAGACAATACCACTTACCAGTACCCAGGTCCACATGAAAACTAGATGGCTCCAATGCTACAGCACCCAGAACTTATCTTGGACCTTGATAGGCTGAGAAGTCTCAGAGCCTGATTGATGACTTGGAGACAGTTTTGTGGAAGATGAAGCATCTGCAGACTTACAAGTGGGAAAAGCAGGTCATCCCATTGCACTTTTACCAAGAGTCCTTCCTTTAGTGCAAGATCAAGTCATACCAAGCCTCCTTGTGCTGATGAGGGAACTGCTGGTAGAGGTTGGGTTGTGGTCTGGGATCCAACTGATGTTCAGGTCTCTAGAGTTGGACCTATTACCTTATCCAAGAAGAACATATGGAGCTTCCTCTCTTTCCTGGATCTGGATTTTAGGGACTTGCACATGTCGCACCTCTTATTGATTTGTGATTTGCCAAGATCATATAAATACCAGGCAATCTGTCCAAGGTTGGAGATCACCTGCAACAGGAGGGACAGCTATGAAACCCAGGAGATTTCAGCAATGGTGTCACCAGTGAAGGGAATGAAGTGAAAGGTCTTAAGAGAAAAGAAAAACAGTGAAAACAGGAAAGCTTCCAGAATCACAGGGCAGGCCTACATGGCAGATTTAGGAAAAAAAAAGGGGGGAGGGAAGTGTTAAAGGAAATGGGACAAAAAGGAGTCAAATCCATCCCAGAGGCTAGAGTCTTCTCCCTTCATTCCTAGAATCTCTATCATCATAATAAAGTAAATTCTAAATACCTATATGTTTTGCTGCCCCCCACAGGGGCCAAATGGCCCCCACAGGGACTACCCCCCCCACATGCCCCACCCCCGCTTGCTCCCCCAGTCCCCTGGATTGCTGCCCCACTTGGCCCCATGCCCTACTGGCTCCTGCAACCCCCCCGATGACTCGCC